ATCGTGCGTGTCGAGTGCGCGAAATGCAGGCGAGAGTGCGATTTGCCGGCTGTGCCCAGCCATCATGCCAGGGAACCTTGGCATTGTTGACGACCACTTCTTCAGCGTCAACCAGGATGACCAGAGACAGGTGTGCCTCTGTTGGTCCTATGGAAGCAGGACATACCATGACGACCAGCCAGAGCTCATGCATGAAAGATGGCCAAACCAGTCCATAGCAACCAGACGCTGGGTTGCCCATGGAGAAACCTGGCAGTTTTGGCGAGTGGTCCATGCAGTGGTCCAGTGGATGGGAAGACTGGGGTAGGAACAACAGCCGCAACTTCACAGATGCCTACACCATCCAGGTCTGCTCCGGGTGGACGCGCTAGACCCAACCAACTGCGTGTCTCATACCGTGACTTCTTCCTGATAAATTCTGTGTGGACGTCGTTCTGCGGAAGCGCAACACTATCTTTTCTGTGTACAAAGACTAGTCGCGAGCTGAACAGCGAGAGTACGCTAAAACACCTACAGTGCCTGCTGTGTGTCACCTCACGCTACTTTGTCGCGTTTTTCTTTGAGACAGTCAATTAATCAATGACAAGCATAGTGGTTGGTTAACTACATCCTAGAAAAGCTGTGTCCTGGAGTGAAGTAAACGTTTTTGCCCGGAAGATATATATATATATATATATCGATGGACGCATCTCCTCTGACAGGTCACTGCTTCGAGACGCTTCTGGCGTGGCTGCCTCAGCATTTTCTGTGTTCATTCCAGCTCGGTTTTTTCAGTGAGATTCCCTGCAGCCGTGCGCGCTGCTTCTCCCCTTACCAGCCGCTCACATGCTCATGCCGATGAGCTGGGCTGTCACCGCTTGGCCGCCTTCGAGACACTTCTGGCGTGGCTGCCTCAGCATTTTCTGTGTTCATTCCAGCTGGCTTTTTTCAGTGAGATTTTCTACAGCCGTGCACGCGGCTTCTCCCCTTACCAGCAGCTCACATGCTCATGACGATGAGCTGGGCTGTCGCCGCTTGGCCGCCGGTGGGGGTTTGGGAGGCCTGCGCGCTACTTCGTTCATCTCCTCTGACAGGTCACTGCTTCGAGGCACTTCTGGCGTACCTGCCTCGGCACTTTTCTGTCGTCATTCCGGTTCGTTTTTTTTCCGTGAGCTTTTCCTGGCGCCGTGCACGCTGCTTCTCCCCTTACCAGCAGCTCAAATGCTCATGACGATGAGCTGGGCTGTCACCGCTTGGCCGCCGGTGGGGGGTTTGGGAGGCCGCATCACACACAGACACCCACGCACTGCCTCAACTTACACGAGCACACACACATACGCAGACTCATATACACACGGACATAGATACACGCACAGAAACCACACACTACCTCAACTCACTCGACTTAAACACTTCACACTGCACACTTAACAGATAACTCGCACTCTGACTTCCTACGTAATGAAAAATGCTTTCGGGCCACTCGTCGTCTAGTTGCTTATACATGCTTATACTGATACTGTACAGCTATACGCACAGGAAAAAGATAGCTGAGCTGATGTTGGGTGCCCACAGGACTTGAACTTTCACCCATGGCCCTTCAGATCACTCCGTTTTGTGCACAGAGTGCTTGTACATTACGTGCTTTTCGAGTGCCTTCACCGCACCGGGAGACCGGAGAACACCTGAGGTCGCCTTGGGCTTTCCTCCCACCACCGTGGCTGGGCGCACTCGTTTGCAACACGTGCCTCGGAGGGACGGAGAAGAGCGGAGAGCCGGTGTTCCCGACCGGGCAGAGTGGCGACCGGGGAGGACTGCATGAGATTCGGGACGACTCCCGACCTCACACGAGATGTTTCGTCAGGTCTATGAGTAAGAGATCTTTTGGAAGTCTTGACTGACGGCTTCCAGCATAAATTGTTTTGTCATTCAACATGGATCTGTTGTGGACTGGTAGCGTTCCAACCACAAGCCCATATGATGATCCACTAATTCCAAAATCGCACTTTGTGCAGCAAGCTAATAGGCGAACAGCGCAGTCTTGAACAACCTTAAGTTAATTCAACATCAATAAGAAGATGCCACATGGCTGACCCATGTGCATCCCCCCACTGTTTTCGCTGGTGAAAACACAGTTTTCACTGGTGAAAACACATGAAAAGGTCTCAGGGCAGAGATGACCCGAGACTTTCAAAACAAGGTCGTGATGGTCGTGACCTGTTGAGCAGGTTGCTTGGATGATCGCACTGTCAACTTAAAGACTTGGGCTATGCATGAAGAAATCTAATTCCCCTGTTTTTCCGCAGAGACTCAAGAAGCCTAGGTATGCTACTCAATCTGGACCTTCATCCGCTTGTGCAGCTTCATGGTAGAAGGCCGCAGTGGAAGGGAAGCAGCTGGATGTTTTGGAGCTGTTTGCAGATGAATCCCGTCAATGTGATGAGAGTGTTTGGATCAGTGGAGTCTTCAGGATTCTGACTCTGCTGCAGTACTCTTCTTAAGGTCCAAGTGGCTGAAGCCACCGTTTTTAACGCATGGCAGTGTGAGTCTGTGGCCAGGACATCTACGAAACCTCGCACGGCAGGAGTTTCAACGGCCATTTGGCTGCATGCTCGGAAACCAGAATGCATCGGTAGCTGATTGGTTTTGGTGCGAGGTCCCATTGTTATTTTTTTGGGGGGTTATCCATGTTTTATCCATAGTAGTTCTCAACTGCGAGGGGGGCCACCGCCAGATTCACCAACTCCAAGTGTGGTCGGAGAAGGGCTTCACCTCGAGAAGCTGGATGTTGCCCGTTTGTCACGTTTGCAACAGAACTGGTTTGTCTAGTATATAAGGCCAGGAGCTACTAGTAGCTAGTAGGGATGCCCTTTGTTCCTAGCAGCTTCTTGATACTAGTAGCAATGCCAGGAGCTACTAGTAGCTTCTTGCCCATAGAGTATTTACAGAGATGTATGTACACAGTATTGAGGATTTGTTGGTCAAAAGGATTTGTTTGAAAGTTTGACCCAAACATGTGGCAGTCAAGCATCGACAAAGTAATTTTTGTACGCATCTGGCTCCATCGTGTTTTTCCTTCTCACCGCTTTGCAGGAGGCGTGGGTCCACAGTTGTCATGGTCCTCTTGCTAATATATGCTAATCTTATTTTTGCCTTTCCTGTGATGTCATTACTTTCTTGAAATTGAATCCTTCCATGCTCATTAGCACAGGGCCCATTTTGAACACCGCACTCCTGGCTGGACCGGTATGTACCAGCTTGGCTTTTCTGAACGCGGAGCTGGCTTCAATCGATCAATCCTTGCCAGTTCCTCCAGTCATCCTTGACCAAACAAGCATCCCTTCAATGAACTGTTAGCAAAGGAGCAGGTTGGGGATCTCCCTATCGTGAGACAATGATCCTCCTTGATTTGGCCATCAGGTTTGCCGCGGCCTTGCTGTCAGAGCCCCGGGAGTTCTTGAGGTCAGAGCAATGGCGCAACTCCAGGAGTGTGGAAGCTGCGCCAGAGTTTGGAAGATGACCCTTCGTTTGATGTCTCTTTTTAGTGTAACGAATCTACTGGATCCAAGCCCTTATTAGCTGGAGATTGTGAAGACGAGCACATCCTGTCTCCGATCAACAAGATTTAGCTTGGAACCGTCTGAGGAGCAAAGGTATAGATATTATATAGTATATACGCAACCATGCTGGTTCTCATGAGGGATTAGATGGTTAGATCATCTACATCTTATATCTCATCCTCTTTCAAATGGCCTTGACTCCTCACCCCCTCTTCCTTCTGGACCACCGTCACCCCAGAAGACTCGGTGCCGCTGCGTCGACCGCAGGACCCCCGACGTGCCCATGCGGCGCCGCGTCTCGGGGCAGCGCCGGGCCTTGCGAGTGGCTCGGTCTGACTGGGAGCAGAGTCAGTGAGGGTAGAGGAGCAGAGGATCCAGCCGTGATCAAGCGGTGTGTGTGTGTGTTTGTGTCACCACCTGTTTCTAAGGTTTCCACACATTGCAAATTAATTCAATTTCCCTTGGGGTTAAAAAAGAGGCAGGGGACCAGGCAGGATGCATCGTCGCCTGGTCAACGAAGCTGGCGATGCACCCGAGGATATGCAAATGGGACGCCATTTCCACGTACCTGCTGAAACTTTTGTTTACGCTGTGACTCCACTCTTCCTTTTTGGTTCCATGGTGGTTCTGCAATGTTCTGCATGCTATATCCCAAAACAGGTTTCTATGCACGGCGATAATTCGATCGGCTACGTACTCAGTAACTAGAATCCGCAGTCACGCAGCATGAACACTTGTTCAACATTTCAAGTGTGCTGACCGCTTCACCTTGCGTTTCCCTCATCCATTTTTTCGTGGAATAGAGGTAGCTGAAAACCAATGTGCCACTCTGTCGTCCCACTGGGTGCAGGGTGTGCTCTCCCGCAAGGGAGCGCCGAAGCCACCGTGGATCACATTTCGACTTAGCGTTTTTCTGCACGCGTTGGATTATCACTTAATTGCTGATTAAGTGTCTCACCCCATGAATCTTCTGACCACAAAACTGCCGAGTTTACGGAGATTTGACGCCGCCGGGCTTACGGATTTGTGCATCAGCGGTGTTCTCGAGGTTCCAAAGATTTTGCTCGAGGCTTTTAGGTTTCAGGTGAAGCTTTAGTCAAGGGAGCGCCGTTTACGGCAGTGCCTTAGAGCCACACACCCCCCCCGCCTTGCGCGCGAATTCACACTTCTTATCCCACCCTCTAATTAGGGTAACAGAAGGAAGTCGCACTCAAGTCTTTCCTAGCCGGGCGGTCTAAGACTAAAGTCCCGCTCGCTAACTATTGCACCTTATTCATTCGGCTAAGTAGTCAGTAACTAGAAGGTTTCATAACTAATCTTTCTCTCTTGCCCTCTTCGTTTGCTCTTTCTGTCGTTTCCTTCCCTTTCTTTCTAAGGCTTGTTAGGTGGCTAGTAAGTCTCTGGAGCGCCGATATCGGCTCTGTGTGTGTGTGTCACCCCCTGTGCCAAAGGGTTCACTGCCACCGTTACC